GTTGCATCTGTACGTGGTGGGCTGCATTCTTACTTTACGTTGCTTATTGGATATGGTGTGATGCCGGCAGCAGGTATTCTGAAAATGTTACAATAATTGATAATATTTTCTTAACTCTGGCTGTGAATAAAAAATATGGCAAAACGAAACAGCCAGCGTGACAGCTTTGGATTCCACCACAAGCAAAGAAGCGAAGCGAGTCTAAACTGACAACGATGACGGAACAACTTATATAGTGTTGACACAAGCCTGTGGGCGATTAGGAGCGAGCTTGGACAGCTCCCACGAGGGAGAGGCTGACTGATGACGAGCAGCTGAGAGGCATTCAACACGAGCAATCACGCCGGCATAAGTGAACCCCGTCATGTTTGAGAAGGTGTTTTATGCAATTGATCGCATCCGCGCGCTGCGCCAGTCAACAGAGCGAAGCGTCGGTGACATATTTAGTAGGCAGGATGTGCTCTGCAAAAATAGGGCTCACCCGAAAGCAATGGGTAATTAGAAAACTGACAGAGCTCCCTCTATACAAATCAACGATAACGGTGTGAAAAGCACCCTATTGTTTTAAATAATGGTCGGAATGTGACCTGTGAGCCTTCTGAATTACCGTGGGACACGCACATTCTAAACTAAAATGTTCATCAATAAAGTAACATCTTATCTTATCTTAAATAATATCTTCATATTAATAATAATAATAAATCATACAGTATGTGTCCGAAAGGGAGCAGGAGAAGCAAACAGCAAAAATATACTGCATATTAAGCAAACGATTGTAAAGGTTAAAGTATGAGAATAACAAATAAAGAAGTGTCAATGTACAACATTATTATGATTATTTAATATATAAAGACTATATATTATTGAATACCACCACGCATTAGATATACTTTAGTTGATCTAAAATTATTGATGTGTTCAAATCTCTTCAAAACACAACTGAAAGTTCCATGAAACTTGTCTTTCTAGGTATGTTGGTGAATGAAGCGCCATCTCCCTGGTTAAAACCTGAAAATTGAATACTAGCACGCCCTCTTGAAAAAGTGGGAAGGGCTTAACATTTCCTCTATACTAGGTCTTTGGGCAGCTCAGTAAGGCAGGAAGCTGTAAGCTGGAGTTACCGAAATTAACAGTGCTACGTCTGTATCAAGCAATATAAATTAACAAAAAAGTTGCTTTACATCATTTGGTACTGCACATCCCATTTGCTGTTTAATTTTTTACGCTTTTTTTACATTTATAAAAACTCTCCAGAGTACACAGTACAATTGTAATAAACTCCTCACAGTTAAACAATTTAAGATGCATTACCCATGATTAAAAATGTGCAAAATACAAACTATCATATCAAATGCCCCATACAACCTGCCAGCCTGATGTGCTTAACACTTAATTATTAGGCTAACGCGGCCAGTGGGCAGAACGCAGTGGTTTTTATATATGAACACCTAAAAATACAATAACCTTTCACAAACAGCTTATCATACTGCTTACAGTAAGGAAGGACATTTAAACTATTATTGGCAGTCACAGGCTGCCTGTAAACTAACCGACGGCGGGGTAACACCACTCTCTCTGACGTAACACCTCAACCTACTTTTCAGCAGCAGACCCATGTCGCGTCTTTATGGCTGCGCCGCTAGTTCCTCGTACTAACTTGTGTACTTTAAGCGGCACGGCATCGTTTACAAGTTTGTCCGAGCGAATTTTTAAGTTGACGCGTCTTTCTTGAAAATCCGATGTTTTGGCCAAAACGTTTGATTGTAGGTATTTTCGGTGCGCTGTGGTTTCTCCTTTCTCCCTCGACTTCCATGTGTGTGTGATAACTGAGACCTCTCCGGGCCGCCGTAGTGGCCGAAGCAAAGATCAAAGATCGTCTCTGCTGAGTGCTGACAGGATGAGTGCGGCACTATTAGTCATGGAATGAATCGTTTTTTGACCGATGCAAAGATGCTCACGCAATCGATGCATATTGCGAGGTTCAACCAATGTAGCCGATGGTGCACCTTTCAACCGGTGCACTCGCACCGTTAAACGTTTATGCCGGGCATCCGATGCGAATTCGGTGAATCTTAACATCTCTACAACAAAACAGATTTGACTTCACCTCACAACCATCAAAATGAAACACGTCCATGTAGCGTTAGCCTAGCACGCGGTACTGCCCCTTAGCACCGCGCGTGGATGGGGGGCAGTAGGCCTCTCTTTCAAATGTTTCCACAAATACTTACCATAAATGACTACTCTTATGGGTTTTAAACATTTTGGTTTTACCTTCATGTTTAAGGCTAAATAAGAAATGACAGGCTAGTAATGTACATGTAATGCTAACTAAAGTGCTCGCTACTAGCTAGGTAGGCTAACTTCACTTTGTTCATGCACAATATGGTATACTTACCTGATATGTTTTGAATCTAGCGACTCCTGGTCCTTTCATCCAGACGGGAGCGTAGAAACCGGAGCAATGACCGGTACTGATTACTGCCTTATTTTAGCAACCCTCGCTGCTATACTATTTATTGAGGGAATAAAATCAGTTATGTACATGTTCTTCTTCTTCATTTGCTTTCAATTGCGGTCGCACCACTTTGGAGCATTTCGCCTATCGACATCACTTACCGCGACCCAGAATGGGATCTGGGATTTGTAGTCTCTTCCTAGTCTGGTATTCCTCTTCATAGTCCAAAAGTCTATATTTCAACAGTCGTTTACGACAAACTGTGGGGTTTCTTTTACATGCGAAACTTATTGTTTAAGATTGACAACATCATATGTGTACATTCGTGGCACAATTCAAACGGGATCAAAGATAAGTTTCCTCTGTCCAATTGACTTCAATGTATGAATTCTTCCGACATTAAATCCCATGGAGGCTCCTGAAGGGGAGGACGACTTCGCTCTCAGAGCGAATACCCCAACTCGGGATGGATCTAGACCCTGCAAGGCAGAAACCTGCAGATTAAATCCATGCAGTTGGCTACTACAATAACTAACATTTCCGCCCTTGTGTGTTTTTCATATAGCCTACAGGTGGGGGTTCTTCTAAGTCCTTCAATGACAACATACTGTCCCTAGTATATGAGGGGTATAGAGTGTTGTGAGTGTGTTGTGATATGTCTAATCGTTATTTTAGGGAGTTCTGTATGTTATTTGCAATGTGGACGCTAGTGGACTAGCGGAGCTAACGGCTACGGAGCTAACGCTAAGGTGAAACGGACTTATGTACGAACAGCGTGTTGCTTGGTGTATAATGTAAATTGACTATGAGAGGTAAGATTGTTTTATGCATATGGTTGTATATGTTATTTTAAGTGTGTTTTGTATTGGAATTTGAGTGTGAGGATAACAGTGAGTTCTGAGTGTGACGATTTTATTGTACATTTCTGTTGTATTTTTACAATTATGTCATCATTGTTATGTGGATGCTGTTGCCTTATTGATCTCTGGTGTTGTTGCCTCATGGACATGAGCATGGACCAATGTAAGTTGCTAAAAGATATATTATGTTACCTGTACACAGACACTTGAAGGAAAGTCCTCAAGACATTTCATGAAGCAACTTTGATAAAATTGCCGTTTAAACCACTGAATAATAACACAATCTGTAAATGTAAGCTGTCCTTTTGCATTTCAGTGAGCTCTACAACTAGTCACTGGCATGACTAAGTCAATGTGGAAGTGTACATTAAGACACATTTTATTGGTTAGCTTGAGGAATAGATATCGAACGCCACTGTTCACTGTTCACAACAGAACTAGTTTCACTTTCAATCGTCCAGTATGTGTAGTGTTCATTGGAAACTTTTAGACTTTGTTTACCCGCTGTGTGAAACACATATATTATCCATTTAGGTAAGGTCATCTGCATATCAAAGCTCCTCTTTAAATTATGTAGATCTTGGTTTTTAGCTTGTCTTGTTCTTTAAGGATTTTCAACCATTTCCATTGGTACTGTAATTCTGTTTCATTTAACCCCAAGGTGAACATTAGAACCACTTTGTGACGGCTACAATACACCAAATCATTTTAGGGAACACCTGCTCACACATTTTAGGAGTCACCTAATTGTGTACAATCTGAAGAGTATTCCCATAACAAGCTTCAGATTTCCCTCTTAAAAGTGCTTTTTTTTTAAAAATGCCTTGTTATTTTTTTGTCACAATCCTTAACTTTGTGCAGTATTTCGTAACTTGCTCAAAGCACTTAATAGAAAGTTGATGTAGTCTTGGACTGTCGTCGTTTTTTTTATAATTTCTTTTTTTCTACTGACGTTTGTTACTGCTTAGTTTTTTCAGCAGTTTTAGTTTGAATTGCATAATCCATGCAAGTACATTTGTTGTAGGGGCAGTCTGAATAAACTGCGATCCGCCTTAATTTATAAGTGGGAATGGTGTATTTTACACCAGAGGAGGCGCACATATTTATTTGACAACGTATGTGGTCATACTTGTTACTTATTCAACTGTTTGACTGGATTTGTTTGTTTTCTTGGTTTTAAGGGCACTAAATTGAAGTCCATTTAATGTCTTCTAACATTGGATCATTTCAATAAAAACATGGTGGCTTTTCAGAATTGAAAAAAAAGTCTGTCTAGAACCTTATTTCAAATGTGTTGGAAGTGGTTTTCTTCACCAAAGTATGCACAGTTGGACTTTAACTGTATTTCTTGTTTCTCATCAGCATGCCCCCTCATTCAAGTGATTACCTTCTGAGACCAGATGGGGGAGACATGTCTCTCCTTTAACCGACTCTACCATCAACACTGAGTACACATTCTGCAGCATTTCAAAAGGTGTCAGAGCTGCTTTCTCCGCACCTCATAAGAACACCACTTAAGACATTGGTTTGAAAGAAAGTGGAGATTGAAATGGTTTTGTGCTTCCGGTTTTATCAAAAAAACAACAGAAAATTAAAAGCATTGGTATAAAAAACACTTGATCTCACTAGGTCGATGTACATATTGTTTTACATTAATGTTGCTTTAAAATCTATATAAATACCATGTCTAACATAAAGGTTCACTTCAATGTCTCTATTTGCTCAGTTTTTGTTTACTTTCAATTCTTTCGAGCTCTCAGAATTATTGTCAAAACTGAGATCATGTTAAGGCAACTTACAACCTTGATCAAACTTCATTAGGACAGGCCTACCGTGAATGTCTAACTGTTACTGACACTAACACCCATTAAATGTATGTTGTTGCAACCCAACATCCTGCCTACTGGTGCGTTAGGAGTGGTTAAGTTTAAACATGACTTCATAATTTCCTCCATTTCGAAACTGAATGGAAAAACACAGTATATCAAGTATTACAGTTTTTTTTTGTTTACGGCATGGCACAGGCAAAATCCATTAAAGCCGCTAAACCCTGACACCTCATTACTCAAACGTTGGTTTCCTTCAGAAGAGAAACCGACCAGGATGTTGATAGTTCCTTTGATCCAAAGAGGTGAACTTGTGTTTCAGAAGGCAGTATCCCTGGCTCTCCGTGCTGTGAACGCGTGTCAGACGTGGCAGAGGTTGTAGCAGGCCACCGGTCTCTCCAGCACCATCTCGCCCTCCACATCGTACACGTAGTCGCAGCGGTGTGAGAGCAGAGGAGCGTCAGACATCGCCACGCTCTGATTACCAAAGGAGATTATTGTGTCTCTCTGAGGAGAAAAAGTCACACACAATACAGTTAGTTAACATGGTGGACGAAAGACATTTTGAAACACATATACATGAAAAAAGGTATATTGACTAAATCAGTTTAAAAGGAAAAAGCCAACCACACACAAAGTCCTGATAAGCTCAGTGTGCAGACATTGTTTGTATGTTTCCTACAGGTGTCCATCGAGGACAGGGGGTCTAAACCTTTTTCCCCGAGGGCCACATACAGAAAAATATATAAATATGCTGCTGCAATGCCAACATTTCCCAAATTGGGATCAATAAAGTACTTCTTATCTTCAAGTTGTCAGAGGTTTAAAAATCTTCACAAGCACTTGTTTTAACCTAAACTAATGTAAGTGTTCCTCTCACCCGGATGGAGCCGCCTCCATTGCTGGGATTAGGAGTGGGATCAGGGACAGCAACAGTCATAGCTGCTCTCTCAAAATCCTTCTTACATAAATGACACATAATCCCCGCAGCTAAGGCATCGCCGAGAACGTTGATCATCGTCCTGAACCGATCACTGAGAACGAGAGACAACAGTTTGCACATCGTCCCAAAATCATAATAATAATACACTTTATTTGTATAGCACCTGTCATGCACAAATCAGCCCAAAGTGCTTTACAGAACACATAACAACAATATTAAAATAATATTAACATAAATAAAGAACAAGATAAAACATCCAGTGATCCCCGTGAATTAAAGTTGACAAGAAATTAAAATAAGTTAAAGTAAAAGCAAAACATGGACAATGATATACTAGTGACAATTGAAAGTTAACCCAAATTAAAAGCAATATTAAAAATATATGTTTTTAATTAGCTTTTAAACATTTCAAGAGAGTTTGCTGTTCCACTAAGAAAATCTCCTTTAAGACCCGGTAGTGCTCTGTTTATATTCAGTTTGCATTAGTACTCACAGGACCCAATCAATGGCCACGATCAGCGAGATGTCGGCAGGCGGCAACCCCACAGAGGTCAAGACAATCACCATGGTAACCAGACCGGCTTGAGGTATCCCAGCCGCCCCGATACTGGCTGCTGTTGCCGTGATACTGAAGAGACAACAGTAGTGTGTAAGCAGCAGTGGTGTAAAGTGAAGTAAATTCACTCAACTTTATTTGTACTTGTACTTTACTTGAGTATTTCCATGTATTATAACTTTAAAACTTATTCTCCACTTCAATTCAGAGGTGAATATTATACTTTTTACTCCTCTACATTTATTTTAACACTCACAGTTACTTTGTGCATTTAAAAACATGCTGATGTGGTATAATGCAGTACTGCACTACTTATCTATGCAGTATTTCTAGTATCTAAATGAAGTCCACATTGACAAACCACACTGCTAAAATGCACTTACATGTATGAAAACAATGCTAATATGGTAACCATAGTGATATAATACTGTGAAAATATCCATTCTGCATAATGAGTTCTTTTACTTTTGATATTTGAAGTACGTTTTTGTTTATAATTATGCTGTACTCTGTACTGTTCTGTACTTTATATTATTCTCAAATGGGCCTTTGTGGAGAATGAGAACTTGTTGATACTTTTGTTCTTTTACTTAAGTAACATTTTGAAATCAATTATTTTTAGTGGAGTATTTTGAGTCCATGCTATTTGTACTTTAGTAAAGCATCTGGGTACTTCTTCCAGCACTGTGTGTAAGGGATTCAAATCTAATTAGTTCTCGACACAACCGATGGGACGATGATGAGCTCAGTGTTCCTTCTCACCTAATAGTGACCAGCTGGCCAAAGTCCAAGTCATACTCATTGACCTGAGCGATAAAGATGGCCGCCACTGCCTCGTACAGCGCCGTCCCGTCCATGTTGATGGTGGCTCCCACCGGCAGCACGAAGCGAGCGATCTGCCGGTCCACGCCACAGTTCTCCAGGAGACACTTCATGGTGATGGGCAATGTGGCAGAGCTGCAGAGAATCACAAACATACCATATGATACGATTCAATATACTTTATTGTCCCCGAAGGACATTTGTTCTGGACTCCATCCTGCAGTTCCGCATACATGTACATATACACACATAATAAACATTAAAATACATGCACATATCATCACTCATCACAAACACAATACACAGACGCATATACTGGCAATAGAGACCTATTGCACAACCCTAATGGCCAACATTTAAAGTTCACCTATTATGAAAATCCACTTCTTCATGTCTCTTCTACATCAACATGTGTCCCCTCTTCTTCATGTCTCTTCTACATCAACATGTGTCCCCTCTTCTTCATGTCTCTTCTACATCAACATGTGTCCCCTCTTCTTCATGTCTCTTTTACATCAACATGTGTCCCCTCTTCTTCATGTCTTCTACATCAACATGTGTCCCCTCTTCTTCATGTCTCTTCTACATCAACATGTGTCCCCTCTTCTTCATGTCTCTTCTACATCAACATGTGTCCCCTCTTCTTCATGTCTCTTTTACATCAACATGT